CATTTAGTTACTGAAGCAATAAGATTTCCAAGCCCTACCTCCGTTGCCACCCCTTCCATTCCTAGGGGATGTGTGTATGTTATTCAATCCTCTCTTAACCTCCACCAAGTTGGTGAATCATGTGATCTCTCCTTCAAACAGACCCCAGCTACTCAAGTGAAGGCGGTTTCAAGTATCAAAAAGACTCCTTACCTGCGCGCTGCGCGCTGGGCGTCGAGACTGAAGTGTCCTTAAGCTCCGGGTCCTCAAACGCGCTCTGTTGCAGGCGCTCCAGGCGTCTGTCCTGGGACTCGGTTTTGTTCGGTTTCTCATTGTTCCTTGGTGGAAGCCGCGCCCTTCTGTGCTATCTTGGCTTCGAGGGACACTTGGAGTTTTACAAAATTTCAAGACGCTCCAGTGCTGTGGGCTGGGTCCTGGAGGGAAGACTCCAGAGCAATTACCAGGAAATGTCTTAATGGGACCACAGCCTTGGGTCCTCGCGGGCGCTCTCGAGAGATGGGATATGTCTCCGAATTTGAAAATAGAAAACAGGTAAAAGGAAAAAACGAGGGTGACAAATAGTAAAATATTTTTGGTAATAAGAAAAAATTAAAAGTTTATGATTTAACCAAAGTGCATTATTTCCCAAGAGCAATTTATCACCCTCAATGTTGGCTCCTGGGATCTCGACGCTCAGGGGAAGCCGGATTAAGGCCCCCCCCACGCCCGCCCCCCGTAGCTAAACGAGTGCGTCTGGTGCTCACATTCCCCGCAGTGAGCTGGAGCCCCGGCTGCGCGGAGGCCCCGAAACCGGCACCAGGAGCTTCTCTCAGTTCCTCTCCGGAATCCCCCAGGGGGAGCAGAAAGCCAGCAGGACTGGCGTCCTGCGAGTGCTCAGCACCTTGGCCCGTCTGGACGCGGAGGACTCTCCTGGCCTTTTCCAAAAACCTGCAGGGCGTGAACCCCGTGGCAAGCTCCCCGCTTCCCCTCCAACCCACAACCACGTTCTCCAAGCCGTGGTCTGCGCACCTGCCTCTCCGAGCTCGCCTGTCGCTCAGTCCCAGGAGGCCTGGGAGCGAGACCTTATGCCCACTAGAGAGGAGGGGGTGGTGGCTAGAGGGCGGGCAGAGCGTTGAGGCTAGGCAGGTGGCTGCGGGCCTGCGGGCCCCGGACTTGTGCGCTTGGCTCTACCAGGCTGCATCTGGGGTCCTGTCCCCGCAGCCAAAAGGCCTGCTGGAAACTGAGCGAAGGGAAACTATCGAGCATCTTCTCTGCGCTCGGAGCTGTGAGGAACTGGCACTCAAAGATGAATAGCAGGCGGCCATCGCCTTCGAGGAGCTCGAAGTATGGAGGATCGCACCGGGTGCGACAAGGCTCTACGCGAGGCTGAAGAAGAGGGCACGAGATGGAGAGGGCGTGAGAGTGAGAGCATAGATTCCCCAGCCAGGGAATCAAAGAAGGTTCCCAAGAGGAGGCGAAGCCTTGAGAGAGACGTGAGCTACGCAAAGGACTTGGGCGAAAGGAGAACAGAAATGCTGCCTACAAAGGCCCAGAGCCAAAAGAGAGGAAGGCATCTGGGACCTTGCTAGGGCGCGAAGGGGTTGGGGGTGAGAAGTGGATAGGGTCGTGACCTTCGAGGACTCTCCTTCACTTCTACCGGTACAGCGACTGTTTGCTAACAGAATCCCTGTTGCTCAGAGGTCCGGATACCAGGCTTCGGCCGGCACGCGGCGTGCCTTAGTGACTGCGCTGCGTAAAGACGCGCGTGCGGAACATCTGCGCCAATTCTCTAGGCAAACGCGGAAGCTGAAAGGCCACATCCCAGGGAGGTCTCCAACTCTAGAGAGTGGTCTGGCAGCCTAAGGCCCGAGCTTCAGGGTGCGAATAAAGCGAGAGGCGCATCCAGGCTACCTCTGTGCTAAGAACGGTTCCAGCGGTGACCAAAGCTGCTGGTTCTCCCCAGGAGCCACCTCTCCAGGACGTCTGCCCCATGGTCTAGGCCTGGCGGGGAGGCAGAGCTCAGAGGGACAGGGCACCGCGGAAGAAGGCAGAAGCATGGGCTGAAGACAGCACCAGGCCAGGCCCTGGGATCACGGGAACTCCTGCGCAGGGCCCAGCACTAAGGAGTCTTGAATGAACCCGTGGCCAACCTACATTGTGTAAGTGGTATGTGCGACTGTGCGGTTCGCCTAGAAGACGCCTCGATGCCAAGACAGGAGGGCCTAGCCCTCAACCCAGAGTTCCATTGAAGCGCAGAGTTCAAGTCTCAAGGCCAAGACGCGCAGGAGGATGCTGCACATCTCCTCCCGCCAGGGTCAGTGAAGCCGGACCCAGGCAGCCTGGGACTCTGGAAACCTGGGAGGTCATGCGGCGCCCTGCCCACAAACTGCCTCCCTACCGTTGCACGCCCTTCGTACTAATCCACTCCAGACTCATGGATTCAGAACTAGGGCAGAGCGCAAGATGTTTAGAGAGGAACGCGGACAGTAAGAGGAGGGAATATAGGAACTGAAGGAGGGCGCGCCCGTGCCCCGAATTGCCTCGGGGCAACCGGAATGAGTTAGCCTGGAGGCTGGGAAGAGAGAATGGGTCTAAGGCCCTGTGCCAGATTCTCCTCTTTGAGCAGTTTCCAAGAGTTTGGTTTGCATTACCCCAAACCTCTGTGTGTGGGTTTGGTGTCCCTTGAGGGTTCCGGAGTGAGAGTTGGCAGGTCCCCGCCGGACGCTGTACCTCTCTGCAGATATGAGCATTTCTGTCATTCCTTCCCCAAACCGTCGAGATGGCCCAGTGGAACTCGAATTGCCTGGCGCACGGACCTCAGATCCCTGGCAGGCTCTGAGCGCAGAGCTCAAGTGAGTAGGGCTTTCCTGCGACTCTTGGAAACTCTCCCAGGACTGAACTAAAAAGCTCGTCTACTTTCTGGTACCCCAAGCTAAATGAAACCTCTTGCAGAGAAAACAGGGATAGCTGGCAGGACGGAGACGCAGCTGAGGCCGAGAAGAACGTAAAAACTGTGCACCTGCTCTGGAGCCCACGCAGAGGTGGCGTCATTGGCGCGTGGTCTATGCTCAGGGAAGCCAGGTTTCGGACCAGAGCCTAAGTGAATCAAGAGCGGGTGTGAGGATCAACGCTTCCAGAGCAGTTTATCTGCCTGGCAGGTTTCGATGGCTCCAACAGTCTGGTCGAGGGGTGCGCGTTTGGCTGCAGTACCATCTAATCCTCAGAGTGGCGCCGCATGGGATGGAAAAAAATTAAGGGTTTCAATCCTACACACCTGGTGTCACCACTTTTGGCAAGTCGCTTAGGCTTTCTCAACCTCACTTTCCTGACTGTAAAATGGGCGTAGTGACCACTTCTCTGAAGAGTGTGCTAAGGGTGAGAAAGGCTACGCGCCTTTCGAATTGTAAAAAGGAAAAGCAAAGCCTTCACCTCAAACTTGATACACTACATGCTAAAGAAAGACTCTCGCGCGCTGCCTCCTAGTTTTTACCTCCCCCACCGTCAACCCCTCCAAGCCCGCGGAGCGGTGCGCGTTTCTGGTCGGTCCTCCCCAGAGAGAGACTGGTGCAAAAGCCAATAAGCCTGGAACACACGCAGGTCTTGCTGGGCCTGGGACAATGGTTTCCATTTAATAAATATTTCCCCCAAGGGCATTTCACATCGGGCAGGCAATTATTCAAAGGAAACAGGCGTGCAGGTTGGCTCTGCGGGTTATTTCCTCCTCTTCACCCGAAGAATGCTCATCTGACGCAAGAAACGAGTCTCGCCTTCTTGCTGGGTGGGAAGAGGCGCTCGGGGACAAACCGACGCCGGATGCGGATACAGCCTGACGCTCCGCTCTGCTACAGAAGGGGCAACTGGAAGGCCCACACGCCCCGCCGCGCGCCGGCCGGCCTCCAGGCTGCCTTTCCGGTTTGGACAGATATGGAAGGAAAGTTGAAGATATAAAACACTAAATAATAACATAAATAGGAATCGTGATGGAAATCCCTTCCCCCGCTCCCTCCACGAAAGTGAAGAGCGGGTCGCGGTGCTCTTCAAGGTCCACCAACCAGGGTTTGAGAACTCTGCACTGCCGGACGCGAGGCCTTCCGGCATCGGCTTGGAACGCACGGCCGAGCTAGCCCGGGGCGCAGCGCTTCGCCCAGGCGCCGCATCCCGGGGCGCGGGTGGAGGCGGAGCAGCGTGGGCGTTCCGGGAGAAAGACACCAAAGGACCTCCGAAGATATGGCGCCAAAAGTTTATTTCGCTTTTTCACCTGAGTTTAATCTACTCTTTTTCTCTTCCAGGGATCTTTGACAAGGGGGAAACTGCTGTCCTTGCATTTCGTGGCGAGGCTGTCCTATTTATCAACACGCACCCTCGGCTCGCTCTCTTTGCTGCCCTTTCCCCGGGTCTCTGTATTCGAAGTCCCAATTCTCCTTTGCACAACCGGGAAAGGAAACAGGCACTAAGAGTTTTATTTGTTGACAGTGCCAGAAATAATGTGGAAGCCAAGTCCCCAGTCCTCAGCTGGCCGCTCTGCTCGCTCCTCTCTGTCTCCCCCTCACACCTCACCCCGCCCCCACCAGTCGCGCTCCCCCTTTCCTCCGCCGGCGCGCTGGCAGGTGCGCCCCCTTGCCTTCTCTGCTGCTGATTGGCGCCCAGGTTGGGGAGTCGCCGCCCCGCGCTTATGTCAGAGTGCGTGCCGTCCGGGCCCACCTCGCCTTTGAACTTCGCCGCTTTTGGCTCTCGTTCACCAGCCTCCCCGCATTCTCAGCCAGGTGCTGTGCTAAGGGAGGCAGCTCCGCGAAAGCCACGGGAGGGGGAGGGAGCCCAGGCGGTAGACACAGGAGAGAAGAGAACCAGAGAAGGCGAAGGTGGAGAGGGGGAGAAGGAGGAGCTTTTTGGCCCCGCCAGCAAATTACCTGGCCACTTAATCCCAGAGACTCCCCGACTTGGGCCCCAGCCTCCGGTGCCGGCAGCCCCCGGCCGGGCCGCCCTCTCCTCCCCCACCCTTCCTGCCCGCACTTGCCCCCCGGGGCCTGCCTGGGTGCCGAGACTGGCATGATCAGCTGAACTTTGAGGGGTTAGCGCTTCTCTCGGGCTTCCCCTCAGCAGTGCGGAGGCGAGGGGAGCGCAGAGCCCCGAGCTCAGGACGGACGCACAGGCAGACAGACAACCGCGCCCAAGCTCGCCTGCAGAGCCCCTGCACTCCCCACCCCCACCCGCCTAGCCTCCGGGACCATGTCCAAACCTTCAGACCACATCAAGCGACCCATGAACGCCTTCATGGTATGGTCCCGAGGCCAGCGGCGCAAGATGGCCCAGGAAAACCCCAAGATGCACAACTCAGAGATCAGCAAACGCCTAGGCGCCGAATGGAAGCTTCTGTCCGAGGCAGAGAAGCGGCCATACATCGACGAGGCCAAGAGGCTACGCGCCCAGCACATGAAGGAGCATCCTGACTACAAGTACCGGCCGCGGCGCAAACCCAAGAACCTGCTCAAGAAGGACAGGTATGTCTTCCCCCTGCCCTACCTGGGCGACACGGACCCGCTCAAGGCGGCCGGCTTGCCCGTGGGGGCCTCCGACGGCCTCCTGAGCGCGCCCGAGAAAGCCCGGGCCTTCTTGCCGCCCGCCTCGGCGCCCTACTCCCTGCTGGACCCCGCGCAGTTTAGCTCGAGCGCCATCCAGAAGATGGGTGAAGTGCCCCACACCTTGGCCACCGGCGCGCTGCCCTACGCGTCCACCCTGGGCTACCAGAACGGCGCCTTCGGCAGCCTGAGCTGCCCCAGCCAGCACACGCACACGCACCCGTCCCCCACCAACCCGGGCTACGTGGTGCCCTGTAACTGTACCGCCTGGTCTGCCTCCACCCTGCAGCCCCCCGTCGCCTACATCCTCTTCCCGGGCATGACCAAGACTGGCATAGACCCTTATTCGTCAGCCCACGCCACGGCCATGTAACCCCCAGCCCGGCCGCCAGACCTGGAGGGCGGCCTGGAAGCGGGGTCTGCACCCTGACCTCTGCGCCTAGCCGGGGCCTGCAGACGCCTCGGGGTCAGCCCTGCCGCCGCCCCCTACCCTACCCCAGACTCTGCTTCTCTCTTCCAGGGGGATGGTAGGGGCGTCCTCCCGGACCCAAGGCGCAGACAGGTGCCAGAAACTTGTGAACGTTATGACAGCTATACAGCTGCCCCTACCCTCACTGCCCCCAAACCAATCTCCGACTGTACCCCCTTTGGACAAAAAAAGTAGGCAGTTTTGCTTTATATGTCCCCTTCTCTCTCCTCTGATGGGCTTTGGACTCCAGAAATCCCAGATCTTGGTATTATATCTAGAATATGCATATATATTTTTTCTTCTGCACCCTGAAGATAAGAGTTAGCTGTGTCTCTGTGTTTTGCCATCAGACACAACTAGGTGCCATTTGCTCTTCATGTATGGGGGAAAAGGCTTACAAATTTAAAACTACAAAAAAGGGAAACATTTCTATTTAAAATCATGCTATGATAGTGTTTGCTTCTTTAAAGGTAAAACAAAAGGACCCACCTGGTTATTTACTTTGTATAAAGCAGTGCTCCTAGACACCTAAGTTTACTTTTAGACAGAATGTCAGGTTAAGTCAGGAAGTAGAAAGTGAACAAAAATTAAAAGAATAAAAACCTCCTAAATGGTCATAAATGTTTTGACGATGTCTTGGAAATGTACCTAGAAGGATTTCACCTCCTTACACTGTTCATTTGTTGAACAAAGACGTTTTGAATAAAGACAATCTGTCATTGCAAAAAGTAACCTTTGATGTGCATAAAATCTGAAGTCAGGAGGCCAGGTCTGGGGCCGCGGGTCGGTGGCCCCGAGTCTGAGAGTGCATGGAGTGACTCTAATAGTGGCAGCAGGTGGCTGGCCTGCTGGCCGGGGGCAAGGGGGCCCAGAGTCTGGGAGTTGCCCCTATTGCCGCTCTGGATCCTCTTTTTGCCTTTAGAGGCTGGACAAAGGTATTCATCCCTGAGACGTCACTCCTTCCGTGCGTTCTTCACAAAGTGGTCAGACCACTTCAAGGAGCGAATGAACTAAGACAAAGGCTGACCCAGCCTCTGAGATCTGGGTGTATTGTCTTTTCTTAAACCAAACTCCAAAGGAATGGAGAGAAGCGCCGAGTCTACTGGGAACCAGTTGCGCGCCAAGCACCCCGTCCTGCGGTGGGTGTTTAATTAGTTCAATACATGGGGGGAAATCAGTGGAATCGATTTTTTTAAGGTGTTTGAAAACACTGCTGCTGGCTTTTCTGGGGATTTGGGGCTCGGTACTGGTTCCTAAGTTAAGAAATAAAAGTCTCAGAAACGCAGAAAAACTAGGTCCCAGCTGCGCGCTGTGGGAGACGTTTTACTAAGACCCCGCGGGAGCAAAGGGAAAAGGAAGGAGATAGGCAAGGAGTTTTTTTTAAAAATCACATAAAGGAGTTTAAAAAATCATAAAAATTAAATAACTCATAGCCCTTAGTGTTTAACGAACCAGAAAAAGAGCCCTTTTCTTTCCCGGCTGGGTGAATGTGAGCTTGAAGACTGCTGTTTTCCGTGGGGAGAAAGGAACTGCTGATGCTTTTCAACACAACTCTGTGAAACTTGTTCTCAAAATCCAAGGGTGCTCCCCCACTCCTCTACCCGCCTCCGGTCTCCCCGCCAAAGCCGTGCTCCTGCGTGTTTTTCTGTGGGTCGGGGGCTTTCCCGCGGCTCCGAGCCGGTGCGGGGTGGGGGTCGGGGGCAGCCTGACGGCTTGTCTGCTTTCTGCCGCTGTTGAGGGATTTGCGCGGTGCCTCTGCCGTTTGCAAAGGAGTCGGTGGCTGGAAGTGCACGGGAAACGTTGTCAACAGACACCAAAGCCGAAACCCACGGATTAGCATATTGTCCTCAAAACAATTAGAAGTGTTTGAGGTGCTATTTGGAGCCTATTCATCCGAGCCCCTTTGTCAAAGGGGGATTTTCATTATGAAAAAAAAAGTTAGCAGTTGTCCATCTGGCTGAGCTGAATAGCAAAGTGATCCGTGTTGTATATGCTTTTCTCATTAAGAGCTCTTTTGAGACCGATGTTAGAATTAAATGGTATAACACAATTAACATACACGGGCGCTGAATAGGAGGGGACGCCTATAAATAATAGATAGATAAATAAATGAGCGATCAGACGAAGGTAAACAAAGGCGGGCCGGGGGACGTGTGGGGGGAGGCCCGGCGGGCTGCGCCACGCTTACTTAGCATCACAAAACCCTCTTACAAATCGAGACAATTAGGAAGTGACTTGCCTCTGGTGGCCGTCCGGTCTGGGGGCTCTGGGCGCTTCGGGAAGGCCCCTCCTCCCGCCCCCTGGGAAGACCAGGAGGCCTAGAGCCGAGGCGCCGCGGTTTCGCCGTCTGATGTAACCCCAACTGACAGTCCTGTCAGCCGCTCTGATCTCCCTCATAGCTCAGTGTCCCTTAACATCTCCTAAGATGAGACTTACAGGGGTCTGGGGATCGCCCCGCAGAGCCCGGCGCACCAGCGCCCTGCGTGCACGAGTGCCCCGGCCCGAGGGGGGACCCCGCGCGCACCGCCCCAACGGGGGTTCGCGCCCAGCCGACTCCGGGGCGGGGTTAGGCTGGGAAGGGGCACCAGGTGGGCACGAGCGGCGGAAGCTCAAAAACGGAAACCAAGCTTCCAGATTGCTCCCGGCCCTGGGGACCGAGAAGGGAGGTCCGGGAAACCGGGTTGCGCTGTAGTGAGGAGGCGCCGTGTGCCCGCGGCTGGTGACAGACTTCTCTCTAGCCGCAGAGAACGGGGCCCCAGCGCAGGTCCCGGGACCTGAAGCCACAGACCTGCCTCGGGCCCTTTCTGCCTGCCACACCTGGTCTCCCCCCTTCCCGTCGGGCTGTGTCCAGCCGGCTGCCCACCTCGGGCCGGCCCGGCCTCGCCGGCAGGGGCCTGCTGCCGCCCAGCCTCCGCGCCCCGGGCCGCAGGGCCGCCCGGACAAACCGCCGAACTCCTCACCGTCACGCCGCTGACAGGGGCCGCCGACTGACTTTGAAGTCAGGTGCAGACAAAAAGAAATCCCCTGGGGGTGTGGGGAGGGGGCAGTCCCTGTCAAACCTGTTTGCTCACAACTGTCTCTTTCTTTCAAGAAAATCATTAAAGCAGACCTGTAGGGAGAGGAGCCCCGCCCGCCGGAGCCGAGGAGAGCCGCTTCTCCCGAGCGCGCCGCGCGGAGCAGAGCGCAGGGCGAGGTGCCCTCCGCACACCCTCGGCGGCGTCGGGAGGACGCCAACGCTGGGCGCGCGGGGCGCCCGGGACCCCTCTGCGCTGGGCGCGCGGGCCGCAGCCCCCGAGTCCCGGCCTTTTCCGGGCTCCAGGGAGGGCCCGGGCCTCTCTCCTGAGGGTGCGATTGCTTCCAGGGGACAAAACAATTTGACCCAAATGCTTGCCGCGCTCGCCCCACCTCTCCTCTGCTGGGACCGCGGAGACCTGACCAACACGCTGCTTGGGACCGCAGCGGGAGGCGCTGGCGTGGCAGAGGCAGAGTTGTTTGGGTTTTAGTTAGACTTTCTTTTTTAAACCTTGGCAGCCAGTTGGCTCAGGGGCACACTGGGCACATCTTCTGGGAGCTGCAGGATCGTTGGCTCCTTTCCACTCTTGGCCTCTCGTGAAGAGCTTCTGCAGCTTTTCACGCGCTTTCCCAGCTTTGGATCCGACTCCAGAAACCTTTAATTCCCTTCCAGTTTTCTAGTTTTTCCACTTAAATATCAATTTCCTTAGAACCACTAACTTTCTAGATAGGAAAGATCAGCTACTTAGAGTAAATCATGCTGAGGTGTGACTGACTGACATCTGAGACCCCCCCCCCCCAACATTTGCATTTTAAGACAGGATCTAGATAACCTCCGGGGATCTCCGGTCATCTAAAGCAGGGTGATATTTCAGTCAGGAGAGGCCTAGGGGACTTTCATTACATTGCACCATCTAGAGAAGCATCTCCCGCGTGGGCAACCTCTCTGCAGAGATCCGACATTGCCAGCGCCCGGAAAACTTGGCGAGCGGTGGCGCCAGGACTGTCCTAGAGGACCGCGGTTTCCTTTGCTCCTCCCCAGCTCAGGCCTTGTCACCATTGTTCAAGCGGACAATGCAATTCAAGTCATTTGAATTTGAATATCACGTAATTCACAAGATTCGCGTTAAGAACTCTCATCTCTTTATTTGCTGAGCTGATTGTGCGTGTGTACGAGGGGGAGAGAGGAAGAAAGACAGAGGCAGAAGGGGCCCATTAGATTTGGGTGCAGGAGATGCCGGGGCCAGTGCTTCATGCTTCCGCGGAGGGCGCGCGCCCTCTTAGCCTCTGGCCCTGCCCGGGCCCTGGAGACCCTCGCAGACCCTACTGTGGGAGCGCGACTTGGGCAGATTTCTTCTTGGCGCCACGGGGATGGGACTTGTCCTGGAACCAGAACCAAGAAGGGTTGGCGCTGGGCTGCTGCTGAGTAACTAAGAAAAAAATGAAGTCGGGGTGGGGGCCGCTAGAAATCCTAGGGTGTCGACGCGGAACGAGAGACTCGCCATCGCTCCCGCCTAATCCCGGCTCTGTGCGCGCCCAGGGACCGAGGCTTGGTGGTGTCCGCCCCGGCACTGGGAAGGGGAGTGAAGGTGGAAAAGAGGGAGCCTCGACACCCCCTCCTCCCCCAGTCCCCGGTACTGCGTCCGGCTAAGCCGTCAGCCGCGGACTCTTGGCCAGTTCCTGGGGCCCGGGTGTGGTAGTTGCGCTCTCGGGAAGCGGGAAAGGCCCCGAGCCCGGGACCTTCTTGGGCGGCATCCCCAGGTTCTCTGTCCTCTTCGCTCGAATCCCTGCGCTGGGCATCCTCTCCGATCCCCAAAAGGTCCCAAGAATTTGATCTGAGTTAGGGAAGGGAGCAGGTGCCCAGATGGGACGGAGACGGAAGGGAATCCGCAAGTTTTCTCCCGGCTACAAAGTGGAAGAGTTGCACAACTCTGGCGGCCAGTGGCCATTTCCAAACTTTTTCACTTTTGAATCGAGAGGAGCAGCAGTTTATATGGGATCCGTGCCTTCGGGGCAGGGATGGAAGCGACCTTAGGAAAATTCTGCCAGCCTGCCGGGCCGCACTCGGTCGAGAGTAGGGATGAGACGAAAGAGCAGACCAGACGGACCCGTGCGGGGCGACCGGCCGCACTAGGGCGCGGGGGCCCCTGCGGCCTCCAGGCCTCGGCGCCGTCTGCTGCTCCCGGCTCGAGAGCTCAACCTCTCCTGGTGCCTCGGGGCCCAGCCGCACCTCTGAGCCCAGAGGCTTTGCGGGCGCTAGAGCTTCCCTGAGCACGAGGGGAGGTGGGCTTGAGGCGCACGCTGGGTTCCGCGGGAGCGCACCCGCCTAGCTGGCGGAGGGCGGAGAGCCGAGCGTCCCGAGAACCGCTAAGCGGCTCCCGACTTCCAGTAGCCGGGCCAAGGCCCCGCGGGCTCTCCGGACGCCCCGCCCGGGGACCGAGGGAGGAAGGAGAGCGAAGGGAGGGAGCCGGGGGCCGAGGCGCACGCCGCTGGTCGCCGTTAGCCCGGCACCCCCCGTGGCGCGGAGAGTCAATGGGATTTGCACACTCGAGGTGTAACAGCATTACTGCATTAATTACCATTTCCATTTCACGTCCAGATTGTTTACTTATCTGCGGGAAACATATGTCGGGAGAAGTTCACATTCCGGATTCTGCTCCGCTGCCCAAGGTGCAATTCCGGGGAGGCGGCGAGGGGGAGGGGAGGGCTTCAGATTTTTTATTACACCCTCTAGCCTTATCTGCCGCTGTAAATTATGAGGATCCTCCATTGAGCGGCATATGGAGATTATATACTTTTTTGAATATCGTTTCCCAAAGCCTGCAGATTTTCACTTTGAAATGAAACAATCCTCCACCGGCTCCCCCGGGGCCGGGCTCCTGCTGCCCTCCCCCCGCCCCCCCCCCAAGCCCCTGCGGCCCGGGGGACCCTTTCTTCAGGGCCGCGCGCGCACCCACATCCCCAATGCCGCGGTCAACGCCCAGCGGAGGCCTGTTTCCCAGGATCTGAAATAACGTCTCGGGGAAAACCCATCCTTGGGGATTAGAGAACCAAGGCGGCGCCCCTTCTCTGTTTTCTGCACCTTGACCCCGGACTTCTTCTGACCAGTTTGCGGCTTTTTTTCATTTTGGATACCCGCATAGACGCGAGCCCACTTCTGCCCTCTTCATACGCTGGGCGGCTCCAAACCGGAGGCGAGGGCTGAAGCGTCTACGCCTGCCCACAGCAGCGTGCCTAGCACTCACGCACCTCAAAGCTTCCCAGGCGCAGTGATCTTGGGACCGGCAATTTTGACTCCTTTGTTTGGGGAGAGGTGGAGGTGGCGGGGAATGTGCCCCCGCTTGAGACCGCTTATTGTAAACCCGGAACGGAAATCCTGCGTAGAAGGCAAGTGCCTCCCCGCTCCGGCATAAGCAGGACCTACCAGAGCAGCGCAGACCGAATCCCATCTGTCTTATCTCTCCGAGACTCCTTTCAGGCTGAGATCAGAGAGGGAGGGAAAAGGAAGAGAGAATCATTGTTCTTCTTCTTTTTTTAATTTAATATACTAAGCCACCCGTTCAGGTCATTTATATGCTTAATTTAGTGATAAAAGTCAATAAGCAGAATCACAGGATTCTCCCCTCTTTCTATTTCTTTTGACCACATTTTCCCACAGTAATTGGTAAAACAGTAAAATATGTATGCCTTTGTTTTTTTCCGTTCAATGCTTTGTCGCAATGCAATTACAATAGGTGTGCTTTTTGTAATGTAATTTGTTTGCTTTTTTTTAAGGACGTAAGGAAAAAAATACGCCTTTTATGAGATTTTTTTTTATCTTTTTCGGGTTCGGTTTGCAGGATTACACTCACTCATATGTAGACTCACTCTCAAAAACCAAATTCAGAGATTTCCTTGAAATGCCCGTTTTTATGTTTCTAAACATCCCGTGGGAAACCTATTGTGATGCTAGACCAAGAACAATTAAGTGGACCAAAGCAATGCAATTAAGGCAGAGAAAAAGTAAAACAAAAGAATGGGGAAATAAACAGATTCTTTTCCATTAAGTGTTGTTTTGGGATTTCTAATTTTTTCAAGACCTCTAAGGAAATTGTGAGGTGTCACTTCTCTCTTCTGGGTCTATCTGTAATTGAATCTAGGTCACTATTCTAAAGCAAGAAAAGTCTGCTTCCCACTTTCCTACATCAGGCTGAAATTTGGGGGAGGGACAAGGGTCTTGCAATTTCATTTAAAATGTAATGGTGGATGAACTGATAAGCAAATAGGGAGAAAAGAGTCTGCTTAAAAGAAAAAAAAAAAGGCATGGTTTTAATATGCTCCAGATGGGGGGAAATGATTTACATGAGAGTTTATTTCCTCTTTGCTGATATGAAAGAATTACAGATACAAAACC